ATTATCGACTTAAACCGAATTAGTTAATTACGGAATTAAATAAGTCCAATACGAGAATGAATTTTGAATACGTATATTTCATACAATCGTTGGTCTGAACAGATAATAAGAGGAGCAAAATGACGCTCAGCAGAAACGGTGAGTGAGCCATTTCAACATTTATATTCAGATAAAAATAAGTTGCAGGCACGTAATGAACAGAGCAACCAATTGACACACATATGATCATATAAAAACAGTCAGGGTTAATAAGCAAATAAGTAACAAGGTCGAAATGTGGCTTGAGAGTACTGAATAAATTGGTTTGTCCTGGAGCTAGGATGACATGTGGGCTTGCAATAGTGCCATCCATCACAATGTTGACGTTTATATCATATTAACAATCATGTAGAAGATGGTTCCATTAGGTCCTCCTATTCATACTGTCAAGTGCTTTCTCAATATCAGCGAAGTTGATGCATGGTCATGAGCGCCATTCAAATGATTGTTCAACCATGATCCGTAGTGTCACACTTTGGTCTGCACACGACCGATCCTTACGGAATCAGGCCTGTTGACCTCGAAGTTGGGCGTTTACTGAATCTTTCATCCGGTTTAGGAACACACTTTTGAAATCTTTCTCTGGTACCGATAGTTGTGTGGTGCCTCTGTAGTTCTCACATTCGCTGAGATCTAATTTCCTTGATGTCTTGATGAGATATCCTTCTTTCCAGTATGTCGGCATTTGTTTTCCTTCCCAAATCTTCCTGGATGGAATGTGAAGCATCTTTGCAGCCACCTCTATGTCTGAATTCAATGCTTCAACTTGTATAAAGCGAGCGATTATTGGACGCAAATTAGGGATCGCTCTCCAAACACGATAAGACGTTCATTTTAAAGAAGTTTCTAAATTGTAGTAAAAATAAAGGATACTAAACGATAAAAATAGGAACTGTTAAATCTTTCATACATTCTCTATCCTTATTTACTTCACCACGACTCTTTTGCGTATTGTTTTATACTACTTATTATTATTCAGTAAATTGTTGTATTCTTAGCAATTTCTGAGCTTTTATCGTAATGCAAGTTTGTCGTGTAATATCCTCAAATATTACCATATACTTGTTACGTTTTTTGTACTTATCATTATAATTACATTATCTTAATCACTGTCGCGGTTATTCACAATTTTGTGAATTTGTTTAACCTTTGTTTGAACATAATGGTTTCCATATTGTTTGCTCTTGATTCGGATTTTGCTTGTTGGTATATTGTCACAAGTTTAGACATAGCTATCACCTGTATCGAAGCCCTTTTTATTCATAGAAAAGGACGCGTTAAACGCCGCAGACACCTCATGAGTTGAGGCTTGTAACTAAATTTTGTGTATTATTCTAAACAGAAACGCTATTTTAGACAAATCGTTGTTTTGCACGCATCCCGGTTGGGCGATGAAATGTAGAATAATACAGTGCTGTATATCTTTGAAAAACAGCTATAACTGTAGTGAATAAGAATACAGGTGGGGATCAATCGAATGTATTTTAATACAAAATTACAGAACAGATTAGTAAAATCTGAGAACCATACAGTAATAAGTTAATTTGCAAAATGTCAGTCAATCGTTTCGGACTTCACTATTCATTCATTCTCACTGCGATCATTCTCTGTTCTCATTCTCTTTTCTTCGATCATCTTCAACTTCAGCCGACAGGCATTTCACTTTCCATTGATGATACATACTACTTACACCCGTCGACATCAGTACCACACACCATAAAACTATTGTCAAGAGGATTGTTAGAAATAAAAAGAAGGTATTCTTCAATAGCTATGTATTGACGTCAATCCTCCATCTATTTGAACAGTTTACAACTAAGCAAATTATGTGATGTACAGATCATTTGAATCATATTGGTTGTGTTTTATACCTTCGTATATTTTTCTTGCTAATTCCTTTTATTATATTCGGATGAAGAATAGGTAAATAGTAACCGCTAGGATCTATTTGTGGACTTTTATTACACATATTCTTATTGTATATCTATTCAGTAACTATATAATATACATAATAATATTCCTTTTATTTGACCTATTGAATATTATCATGCGATTTACTATTCTTAAGATGTTTCCATTTTATTAGTAACAGTCTCTCACAATCACAGTCGCTTTCTGGCTGGATCTTTTCTATGATGCGGTCTGGTTTGTTTGTATATAAACCTTGTATATCTGAAATATATGATTCGTATGTCGGAGGCTGATATTGGCGTTCTGGACTAAAGTGACTGAGTTAGGAGAGAAGCTACTACTTCAGAGGACCAATAAGAGCACTAGACTGCTAGTAGAGGTTTATGCGTCATTAGTCTGGTTGTGTAAGTCGATGTCTCTAATTGTCTGTCGTATCACGTGATATAATTAATCGGGTATAAGAACATAATACTTTTAACCATATTGCACTCATTGTCGTATACTTACCCATGTATCCTTTGGTATAACTTTTTTTCAATATCTGTGCTAGCTTGTCTGTGTGTCTAAATATTCAGTTATTGTTTATCAACTATAAAAACTGAATTACACATAATTAAGCGTTTTTCAGTCTTTAGTCTTCAGTAATAAGGATAGTAGGTTGATGAACCTGTGTTAATCCTGACACATTGCTTTCCAGTGAAGGTCCAGCTTTTCCTTGAAAGTATTCACTAATGGGGCTGACACCACTTGTTCGAGTAAGGCGTTTCAATGATTGACTACTCGATGAGAAAAATGGGATCCCACTTTAAGTTTATTAGATCGTGGTTTATGAACCTCCTTGCTATGACCTCGGAGATTATTAGTGCTGGAGGGAGCAAAAAGATAAGACATATTAACACCGAAATCATAATTAAAGATACAAAATTCCAGTATAAGGTCACTTCGTGTCCTACGATACGACAAGGGGAAAAGATTTAGGCGTTTTAAACGCTCATCGTAAGGGAGTCTAGAAAGACCCTTCACTAATTTCGTTCCCACACGCTGGACAAGCTCAAGGGAGTTAGTATCCTTTACCAGACACGGGCTAGCTGCTTGAATACAGTACTCTAAATGTGGTCTAATATAGATCGGATAGAGGGAGACCAATTCCACGAATAACCGAACCCATTTACTTATTTTCACAAACTACCCTTATGAAATAAACTCATCTTCAACACTAATCGTATTCAAGTCCTTATTTCCCGTTATCGTTAACAGGATTAGTGGCCAGATATTAGTGAGTGAACTCTTTATTCACATTATTTATGCCAATGTAAACGGATAGCCGTCAATGACAGTGAACAAAGATCACGATTTACAACCATTGAATTCTAACTTAATCGTTAAGTCGTATGATGTTTAATTCAAACTACAAAAATGATTCTGTTTCATTGCCTGTTAGGTTGTTGGTGTTCACTATCAGAAAACCTTTAAATCGTATGAAACAACAGTTGTATAGCCTATCGGTTTTAATGATTATTCAGATAAAATTTGTTTTATAATCAAACTACCAACCACTAAACTGAGGAGAACTTCATGTTTTTAATCTTTTGTTTCATTCCCCCCCTCTCACTACATGACATTTTGACCAATCATATTTGAAATATGTAAACCATATCGATTGACCTAATGAGTCTAAAGGGTCACAATAAATTAGACTACAAATTAAACTCCTATTTTACATGGTAACATTCGGTACTCATGAATGACAATACATATCAACTTGGATTTGCTTTCCTCTTAACTGGTAAGTAAATTTTTTGATAAAATCTTATTTCCATAATTGTATTCATAAAATAAATTTGGATAGATGATCGTTAATTCGCAGTGGAAACAAGAAGAATTTGACTGTTGATTCAAACTAGGACATTACAAACACTAATTTAAGATTACCTGGTTAATACTTGGTATCATGCAAATATTGTTTCTTTTAGTATCGGAATCCTTAAACTCCGATCGTATTGAAATACACTCTGTTATTGTTAATATTCTTAGCTTGAGATAGAGTGGTGGTTGGAAGTAGTCAACAGGAAACCCTGAACCCGTGTTTCGTGCTATTTGGCACTCATCAGCAAGGTGTACCTGTAATCTTGAGGGAACTGGTGCTCCCTGACGTATTCGATCCCGTGTCACGGTTGCGGTCCGGATAGCTCAATGGTAATGTCGAGTCACCTAGACTAGTGGCCATATTGCAACTTGATCGATAGCATTCGATCTGCACTAAGAAGTGTTTGACACACATGACATTGATCACCACCCAGTGATCAATCGATTGTGAATTCATAGTTTGTCATAATAGTGGTTTTCGTTCTTATCATACTAGTTTGGAGCAAATCTCATAGCCTTAATCTATTTGAAATCAAGAACTATTTATTGGTATCGTGGTTGAGAGTAATTCGTAAACATTCCGAAATAATCATCAGTCTGAAATCATCACCGAAAGGGGCTACCGAATTGAATTAAAGCTATTAAAACCAATAAGTAGTAACTACGAATATTTTTTAAATAAATAAGAATATTATTTAATATCCGAATCTATGATGAACATTAATTTAAATTACGGTGGTATGAATATTTTTACTACAGTTATATATGTTTGGCAGTTTAAGTTCACCTGTCTCCAAATGCCCTGGTATGGTCGAGGGTGCGGAGAGTTAGCTCTTCCTCTCGAAATGCTCTCACATGGCCACGCATATGCAGCCATCTACAGGGAAGTCCTACTCACTACTTCCTTGCAGTGTGGGTGTTGTTTATGAAATTGAGAAGACGAAAAGCGAATGTCCGGCTTCTTAACTGAGTTGGTGGATACAGTCAATCCACTCTAATTTCAAACCAACAGTGCACTAAACAAATCCTATTTCTGACATCGCGATACATGGTTAAATAAAAGACAGAGAAGTCCATAAGAAGCTCTATCCATATACAGTTAGTCAACATTGGAAATCTAATGGATATAAAGTTGGCTAAACGAGTTTCGAATTGATGAAGGATATTGAGAAGGTTAGTTAAAAATGATCGCAACTGTTGATCAGTTTGTGTTATCTATTTCAGGTTTGCTAGGCTTGTGGTTACACACTAAGAACATTTCACGGTTAACGAAGATAAGTTCTATTTTACCCGATGGTTTGAAAAAGTTTCATTATCATTTGGTTGCGGCTTGTTTGGGTGGCATTGCAATTACACCTTTAAGGGTAATCGGTATTTATCAAAAAGGGTAAGAATAAATTTAATCTAATCTTATTGGATATACATATTTAACTTCCGGACGGTTCAGATCCTAATTAGCATGACTTACATTATTTCAGTCTTATGGCTTGAAATCTCCACTAAAACTCTAGAATAAATATGCACTATGATCAAATTTTTATAGAATATAATAAAATGATGATATATTTGTAATGTCATAATGAGTAGAAACAGCAATTAGAGGAACGACCTATTCTTCTGTTCTATTTAAATTTACCTGCTTCGATTTGGACTACCGGGCAGTATCCTAACCCTCACACACATCGAATGATTTATGTGGAGCATATCTATTTGGTGGATCCTTTTACCAATGTTTATGTGTTTAACTAACTGTCAGTTTATTCCGGTAATTTGTTTACACGTATGCATCGGTCCAAGTTGTCACATCTCATTAGCACAACAAGATGAACACCGAATATTATAGAAGTAGTTGCCTCAATGATAGTAATATATAAAAGAAAGATTGTCTATAACGAGATATAATACAGGAAGAAAGGATTAGCTGGTAGAGAGGAAGACATAAAGCAATTTTAACCTCACACTTTAAGGGAAGACAGGGAGTGCAAATGTAGTGAACAAAATACTAGTGAGACAAATGAATGTACTTGACACGAAATTACAGAGCATCTCAATGAAATCTGAGAACGCAGGAAAGCATCCAACTGCGTCACAAGACAAGCCCTCACATGTAAATAGTAAATCCTTAATTTACAAAATATCAACCCATCATCTCAAACTTGACTGTTCTGGTTGCAAACATCAATCCATTGTCTCAGATTTCATTATTCATGCATTTTCATACCAATTGCATTCCGTTCCCGTTCTTTCCTCATCGACCTTCTACTAAAACACATTCTATGGCTGATCACCGTTATATGCTACTTGTGTGAATATAAGTAACCTACACCACATATACACCTACGCCATTGTGATCGATTCTGAGCCAAATCACCCAGAATCTCCATCCACTGGTTACAATAGTCACGCGGACCCCAAACAAGTAGTCTGCATCTACCAATATGACCCATACCAGAAGTTAGTGACTTCAAGCAATGATGCCACGTCTTGGTATTGCCATTCCTAACTTTCTTCCAACAATCTCCAACACTAGTCAGCACTGTGTGCCATGGTATTCTGTGTTCAGGTATACGTAACACGTGGCCCAATAATCTCCGTCGATGAACATTTACAACTTAATATAGCACCTGAAATCCTAGCCTCAATAATTATCGGACGCCTAACAAAGACTCGTGAACTTCAAACACGAAAAAATCAGGCTGGCATCAGACCTGGTCGTGGCTGCATCGACCACATATTCCTTATTCGTCAGGATTTAGAACACAGGCATGCCTATCAGTGTTCGGCAATGATTGTTTTCTTGACTTAAAAGGACTGAAAACACTAATGAGGCTTTTTATTAGTATTTGGCTAATGACTCATGAATATTGCTGTAATTCCTGGAACTTATTTATTTAAAGGAGTATTCCACTGACTTTGGGATTGTATATATATTACATTCATCATAATTCTTACTGTAAGCTTATGTTCATTGCTTTCATGAAACTGTTCATTCATCTCTGAAGAGTAATTTCATTAAGAGCTGAATTGTAACCCCTTGAAAAAAACATTTGTGAAAATTGAATGAAACATATGAAATGAAGTTTATCTAATTGTGTATTTGAGCACACTGATGAGACCAAAAATAAAGCAAAAGGAACTTTAATACAAAAAAGATTCTATCATACACTTTTAAATGGATTACCAAGTAAAACAGCTGACAAAAATACCGTTTTTTCTTTTCTTATTTGTCTTATGAAGTAATGTTAAATATACTAAAAGTATTCTAGAGGACATGAGTTGATTGAAGATGAACTACTGGATGTGTGTTCAAGTTTTCAAATAGTACCAGGATATCTAAAATTTTGAGATGGTGGAGAAAATTTGTAGCTCAGTTGGATGATTTTGATGAAGTTTTGTTCTCTGAACTAGATGACTTGATTGTGAAGCTTTCATCGTTCTTTTCAACGATATCATCAACACAAACTTCATGTAGAAGTGAAGTCTGGTTTGTGTATTTTCAGCCTACTATAGAGGACAGAATTCTATCAAAATATCTAAAAGATTATTTATTTGATTCTATCTAGTATTTAATCTTCTTCAGATGCGTACAATAGGCCTTAATTTTCATATAATTCACCACGAGTAGTTTCACAGTATTCGGGCGCTGAATTAGCTAGTTTAATTAGGATTACTACATACATTTGGCGTTGGTTACGTACGTAAGAATACTATATATAAAGTCATATACCTTAACACTGAGTTCTAGTCTTTTCCATTTAGTATGGACCATACATACTCTTGATAGTTTAAAAAATGTTTTAGGATGACCCAATTATAACAGAAAGTGTTATTCGTCAGTATATTTATAAAATTTATTTAGTCACTTGTGTACGGTTATTTATTATGGTTTTTGTTTTGTAACCTACCCATAGACTTTAGTCTCTCCTATAAGGTAACGTTTTATATGAATGCAGAATTTTCTTTCTAAAGATTGTACATAATGCAAATATCTTACATGTTTCAGTATATCAATCAACTGCAAACATTACCAACGTGATTATATTTGGAATTCTACTACTGTGAATGTAGGAGGTCGTGATTGACAGATAGGGAATAATTCAAGAATGGAAGATCGTTGAACAGGTTAAAATAAAGCTTATGATAAGAGAGACACGAATATGAATAGTTTAGTTAATCAACAATTATACGACAAAAATATACGCACAACAAGGAATGCGTAACAACCAAGTTGTATTGTAGTGAATGTGAACACAAGTAAGGACAACTGAATGTGTTTTAGTACAAAATTACAGAATCTCTTAGCAAAATTTGCGAACCATACAGTCAGTACTTCATTTGGGAAAAAAATCAGTCAGTCGTCCTTTTTCTCCACACTAATCATTCTTTGTTCTCGTTCTCTTTTCTTCGGTCTACCTAACCTTCTATCTCCAAACATGACACTTTCAATTGATGATCCATACTACTTATATCTACCAACATATGACTAAACATTGAAAGTAAGCTGTTCAGCAAATATATTGTATTTTGTTTCAACTAACTTCATCTGTAAATATGTTAAAGTCTGCACGTTATATGTACTACTGATTGATAGTTGTAACGCTATTCACTGACTTATATCGAAATACAGAATGGAAAGCATAAGATTAATTCAATATATTAGTTAATATTAAAGATCATTTACTCAAGGATGTGTATAGATATATCTATAAGGAACCAGTAATCAAAGGATTTCAGTTACATTGAAGAAATTGTAAATAATTCTACTTCAGCCTTATTTATTTTTCAGTTTTCATAACTTTCAAGTGTTGAAAAGAAATTTCCAGTTAAATATTTGAGAACGAAACGGCCGTCCAGTGCTTCCAGGTTTTCCATGATGGTCTAGTTTCAACTGACTCATGATCTTAACCATTGAAATTACTACAATCTCCACAAAATCCATCTGATATTTTATTTCTTTTAATATTTCAGATGGCCTTTTGGTCATTTTGGCTGTCAGTCATATGCATTTGCTGGAATGTTTTTTGGAATGACATCAATTTATTTGTCGTGTTTTATCTGTTTCTTCACTATGGTTGAAATATTGAACTTAACCTATAGTAAGTAGACAAAGATTATATTCTGTTATAACTTGTAGCCTGTGTGCCTCGTTAATGTATAACATAATGATACCATTAATAAGAGAACAGTGAATTATCGACCTGATCAATGACGCATAAAACCCGTATGAGCATTCTGGAGTACTTGTCGGTCCCGCTTACTGCCTAGCCCAGTCAGTTATGTCCAGAACACCAATCTCAGCCCCAGAGATATGAATCATGTATTTCAAACACACTGAGTTTATATACCAATCGAACAGACCACATCATACCATAACAGGGAAAATAACATTTGTACAAGATTTAGCCAAATGTGGCTATGAATATGGGAGATAGTAATTGATAGACAGGGCATAACTCAAGAATAGAATAACTAGTTTCTATCGTAAAATTTCATTCAGACTGAGTTTTCTATTAACCAACAAAATCAATGTTTTTATAGGGTAATTTCACTTATGACTGTTAGCTTATTGTGTTGAAAAAGACGTTCGAAAGGTATTTGTTGTGCTAAAAGGTAAAAGTTGCGTATTTACTCTTATTATTGTAATAACAAAATATTATTATTATTATTATCAGTACTGTTTGAATAGTCTCTCTGTTATCATCGAGAACTGAATGCTTATCACTTTGTTAGCATATATGCATCCTTTAAGAATTGCCTCAATATTAGTCATTATGTTACAAGTTATTTTGAATAAATGGATTGTGTCAAACGGAAGAATCGAAGACTAGTACCTGATATACTAACGTTTGTTATGCCTTGTGTTGGAGCATAGGCCACCCACCAGGATTCCGCATTAAACTCTGTCTTGAGAACTAGTCTCAAATAAAATGAAATATGTACTCTGGATTCTACTGCTAGACATAGTCCGTTTAATCTAAGTGGAAATAGAATATTTATCTGCATTTCATTAGCCGTCATTTTAACGATCATTTCGATTTCTTCCAAATTTGACTGGGTCCTATACAAGTGACTTGATCAGTCCAACAAGGGATGTTAAATTAATTCTTACGTCATACCAATCTTATAGAAATTACCTTGACATTTTATGTGCAAGCACACAACATCAAGATTCAGGTTGTTATAATGAAGGGATAATACATAACCTTAAATTTAAAGGAAACCTATGTAACTTCATAGTAAATAACAGTTTAGTTGTGTTATATTGTGATGTCAATTAAAAACTACCAGTTCCTTGTATATTGAAGGGCAGCGAAAACACTGTAAATAAATTTTAAGAATGAAAGTCAAACTGAACTGTGATGATTATTATTATTCTCCTTTTTTACAGTCCGTCATTTCATATCTCATCAATATAATTACATTCCTTTTGGAATTTGGATGATCGGTGCATTGTGGGCTATTCTACCACTCTATGGATATGGCAGGTAAAGCGTACCTTCTTTTTACTGATAATCTATATGGTTGCTTACAGTTTCAAATGAAGGCTAAATGCATCATATTGATTGATTTTACACGTAATTTACTAAAGTACCAACATTTATGATCAATTCACTCAAATAATAACAGTCTTCTCACCTTAACTGAATGATATTCAATCATTAACAGCAATCAACATAGTACTTGATAAAATAAGATCTATAGTTCAGGGGCTTGAACTAAACAAGATATCTGGTACTTTAAGACTACTACTGTCGACTAAATTTTACCTATCATACTAATAACTGATTAATACTGAAGAGTTTCAACTTTAATTAATCAAAAAAGAGCATCATGTTCCTATTTTTTCATCATCACATGGGTCCAATAAATAATTCCAAACATGAGCATTAGGCCAAAATTTGTCATTCATCCTCTTATTGATTACAACTTTTCAACGTGGAAAACCTATTTTTGTTGCTGTACTGACTATTCAAACTTCAAAGCAAGACATAGTTTTATAGCAACTCACGCGCAATTGATTTGATTCACATTTAATTCGGTTAAGTCATTTTGTTAACATATTAACGAACAGAGTCATCTTAACAACAGCTTATCTATATCATTGTATCTTTATTATTGTTGTGAATGTATAAACATGTATGCTTGAGCATTGCTTACTGCCCACGTATTTATTCACGCTGCTAACCGCTCAATTGATGCGATGATGCATTCCTTTCACTATGTATATATATAAGTCCATGTTAATCATGTTCATTGCTCTCTCTCGCTTACTCGTACTCATATTCGCTGACTCACTCGCTTGCCTGCTTGCCTTTCGGCACAACTCGTCTATGCTTGTTTGACGCACCTGTAATTTTGGATAAGTCTGTGTGGTCCCGTAATAAACATAATCAACACTTCGTATTCGCCTTCTGATTAATATACCGTTGGGGGCGTTATCTAGTGACGGCTATTAAGACGAGCTGTATACGAAGTTTAAGGATTATATGGAATACCGACCACCACAGTTTCTTTATTTTCTGGTTAGTAAATTTTTAGTACAAGTAATTTACAGTTCAGTTAATTCTTCAATTTATTTTTGGGGGGGGGATTTATTCTAAAATACTCATTAAATATTTGCAGTTCAGAATAAAGTTAGCAGTATGTCAGTAACAATGTAGAACTTCGTACGTACGTACATTAGTACGAGTTGCATACCATATTAGCACATAGGCACAATTGTCGATTCAAATCCCGTAGTAGTAGTAGAGGTAGTAAAAGTATAAGCAGTAAAGATGTTATTCAGGGAGTATAATCCAGTGAAAGAAATTTGTAAAGAGAAAAATGGAACATGAAGAATTGAGAAGATTCGAATTTGGAAGAACACGAAGAGAGGATGCACCTGGGTCATTGCAAACGATTTGAACCAGGTCATTCAAGGTCTCTAATCATCGGTTGCTATCGTCTTGAGGATCCCAACCAGATAGTTTACACCTACCAACAAGGTTCATTCAGTTCACTTGTCAGTGACTTCATGGAGTTGTGTCATGTTTTGATCTGGCCGCATCTAGCTTTCTACCAACCTACTCCTACACCATAAAACACAGCTCGTCGGGGTAGTTGGTGGTTGGGCCTACATAACACATGTCCCAGCCATAAAGTTAGCATATTAATAAGAACCATATCTTTGATAAACTGACTTAAGATCAAATGAATAAGACTAAACAAAAATCTATATTCATTAGAAAATTTTATTTAGTATGTATTTTAAGTGAATGCCATTCCGGTAACTGTCTGACAGGTCAACAATCTGCCTTAATTAAACAAGTCAACATCGATTAGTCAAATTTACGGTCACATTAAAAAGTTAAATAGACGAAATCAAGTCATAACACTAGTAATGGCATGTTTGTAATATCTCAGTGAATATAAAATCGAATTTCTGATGTTTACTAGCTCAGTATCAGCTATGGTAACTATCATACAACCAATTTTGTTATGGTTAATTTTAGTTGAGTGTTTTTTACTAACTTACTTAACAGATAATGCTATTGGAATAGTCACGATTCGCATATTTCTTTGTATTGTTATAATCACTAGATAATATGACAGACTCTAGCTGAGATGTTGATCACTTAAATATCACTAGATGATTCATTCTCTTCCTCATGTATATATGTACTCAAATCTTATTATTATTAGCTTTTGCTTTGCTGTGACCTTATGCAATTTGACTATAAATTTGCCAATGTATTGGATCATATGTACCTATTTGCCTCTCAATTTCAAATGAGCTTGATGTGCTTATGGCTTTGTGATAAGTGCTATCCACTAATAAACTGTGGTTGCTACTTCTCATTTCCTTCTGAATTCATACACCGTTGAGAATTTATATTATAACGGTTATTGAGGTGATAGATTAACGAAGCAAAGTCACTACAAAATTGCTTCTTCATTAGGACATTGAATATTGAAATGATTATCAGGTCGAAAATTGATAATGATACCAAATCACTATCTTAGCTTTTTCTAATATTTCAGATATACATTAGAACCTCATAACACATCATGTCTATTGGACTGGACTAATATGGATAAGAGCATGAAATTGTATATGTTTTCACTAATTATATTTGGTTATGTACTTCCATTCGGTATCGGTATTTGGTCACAATATAAACTGATACAGCATACAGTATCGGATGAAAATAAAAATAAGAAGAAGAACACTACAAAGATTGAGATTCTTATAAAGGTAGATTTATTTATTTGATTATTGCCTAATTATTTTTAAGATCTATTTCATGGAAACTCCGCCTTGAGTCCCTCCGGGGGTTGCTGTCGGTCCCAAGGCCGGATAAAGGAGGAGGGTTGGGCATGGGGTTAGCGTCCCCATACCGTAGAAGACTAAATCGCTAAAAAACGCCTACCAGAAAAAAGTATTCATACCCTTTAAACTCTGCCCTGGGAGTCAGAAGGTCTTCTTTTAGAAGGACTATGACGCCTCATGATGAAAGCCGAGTTCCTTCGAAACTTACGAGGCCGATGCCCCTTCTGACAACCAGAGCAACCATTTATTTAGGTACATGGAATACTCCGACAATGTGGGAGACCGGGAGAGTCTTCCAAATTACTGAATTGCTGCTGCATTTCATGGAGACTAAAAAGGATTAATGATTTGTTGAACTCACTAGATGAGTTGTGTTCTTTTGGTTTCTTTCATTGGTTAAGACCAAACTATAACAGAAGAATTGCACTAACATTTGTTTCACATTTCAAATGGACATTGTCAGTATTCTACACCGGTCGTTTTAATGACTTTGATGAGGTGATTATATAAATGCATCGAATAACTTATCTGTTTTTAGAGTATCCCAGAAAATCCCTAAAATTAAGGCCCATGAATATATTTAGTCTGTAATATAGTGAATTTGTGTATTTTATCAACATTAAAGAGGCTTTATCTACCACTTATGTTACTTCATAATTTTCACAATTGAAAGGCTTGTTTATATTTAGAAAAGAGTTTTGTGGATATTATAGTTATTTAATAGTTGAGTTCATGAGTCAATTTAAGATAAACCACCATGGAAAACTTGGAAGCACTGAACGGGCGTTTCGTCTACCAATGTCAGTGGTGGAGGGTGGTGCAATTTCGTGGATTGGTTGGAGTTAGACAATAACACCGTTAGATGTCGGTTTAGTGGTTTAGTTGATATTAAACCGTGAAAAATAAAATGATAAGTTTGATGCGACTAATAAAGCAATGGTAAACTAATTATCATAACACTGATATGAACTATAATATAGGGTAGTATGAAGTTTCTGAAAAATCGTGAAAGCTTAGCCAGTAATAATAATAATGATAATTTTGATGGAGTTTTGTTCTCTGAGCTGGATAGTTTGGTCGTGGAGCTTTCATCATTCTTCTGAACGACATTATCAGCACAAACTTCATATAGAAGTGAAGTGTTCGAATTTCTCCACATGCGTTTCACAGCTTGTTCTGTCCACCTCGACGTTGATTGGTTCTTATTGACCTTAAATTTGTCATTGTTTACTTCTTTGTTTTGGTTGTGTCTCCCATTGTTTTGATTTTTGTTCCCATATTTGTGCATAATTTTCCTGATTGTTTGATAAATTGGATTGATTTCAATATGCTTGCTGATTGACCTGAGTGCCAGGCTTCTTAAACTTCTCTAGTGTTTTTGGGATTTCTTCTGTCCAATCGAATGAGTGTCCGCTGTTGTCCACGTGTATTGATATAAGTGAGGAAACATCATGGCGTTTGTCTGCTAATTGATGTTCATGTAGGAGAAGGTGAAGGGGGCGTCTGCTTTGTCCAATGTAGTGTGTTTCGCAGTTGGCACAATTTATTCTGTAGATGATGTTTGATTTGTTTTCCTCTGGTTCTCCACCATTTCCATAATGATAATAATAACTATTAAATAAGGCTGAAAAGGGTGAAATTGTCACATTATAGCCCTGAAACAAAGCAAAGTGATGTAAAAACTGTTTTGCATTTGAAATTCGGGATTGATACAAAGAATCCTTTCTATTTGGATTACTTTGTAATGTGATGAGTAACATATTTCGGATAGTATAGTTATTTATATGTTAACAGGATGCTGTAACGCTTGTTATAGAAGAAAAATACCGGTATAGGCAATCGTTAGTATTGAGTTTCTTAGAACACTTTATCTTTTCGCTCCTTGGATTAACATTCATAAAGATTCACTGAAAGTGATTGTCTCGCCTTACTTTTACATTCTGTTAAATGTTTTAGATGGGATTTGTTTAGATGAAAATAGTAGCGGTCAGTGAATAAGCTTCATCTATACAAGTTTTCTTGATCTCTGACGGATGATAGGTGAAATCTCTTTGACAATGTTGCTTAATTGGTACTCTACTTATCAATGACTTAATTCATCATCATAATCATGTTAGACTTAATATCATCAGGTTTGTACTTCAGTTTTCTCAACACCAGATTGTATGTGGTGTTAGTCAGTTTAAGATGATGGTTTGGCAAAGCTGTGTATTGACTGATGTTAAAGGCACATATTACTGTGCTTTAACTTGATAGTCTGGTACTTATCGTGTTCATCAAGAAAAATGATAGTCCTGGACTCGACACCGTACAGAGTCCTGATTAAACAATGTCGGACCATAATGAATAAAGTTTCCAGAATTTCTAATGTCTACTTCAATGTTATCGATCCATTTCTTTGTTTAAGAAATTATTTTACCCATGTATTAATGAAGTGCTTTTCTTTGATCTTTTATCTGCTTCATGAAATCATTCAACTATGTTGAATAATTCAATCTTATTATTCAATATATTTGGTTGGTTATCATATGGTCTATTAGCCATTAATTCATTAATATCTGGACAAATAACATTGAATCCATTTACATATTGTATACCACAACTTCTTGCAAAAATTTCTCAAGCATTTTTACCTATAGCTTATAGTTATACAGAGAAACAAATTGGACAATGGAATAAAGCATATGGAAATATAGAATAGAAATATTGTCTAATTTTTGAACAAATCTTCTTGTAGTATCTTTTATGTTATACAATAGTTAGATGTAATAGTAATCGTTATGTAATCAATTGTTTGTTCTTATTTCATTTCTGTTTGGGTAAATCCTGCAATCTCTATGAACAATTGAGTTTTAAACATAACTGATAAGTCTTGTTAATTTGAACGCTTTATTCAGTTCCTGAGCTGTTCTGATAACCCGAAAGCTAGAACTACACAGCAACCTGAAATCGAGAGAAAAGGCGCAAAATAAGCGAAAACACTTTACTCCAAAGGTTCATTTTTGTACAGAAAAACACGGGTATTTATAGATGTTAACATTTGTTGAATCAACATCATATTTTGGCCAATCCGCTAAAAGACATTTAGAAGATGTAAAAATCTTTACATATTTGGGCAGCATCATTGATGAACAAGGTGGATCTGATGCAGATGTGAAGGCGCGGATCGGCAAAGCAAGAGCAGCATATCTACAATTGAAGAACATGTGGAACTCAAAGCAACTGTCAACCAACGCCAAGGTCAGGATTTTCAATAGAAATGTCAAGACAGTTCTACTGTATGGGGCAGAAACCTGGAGAACTACGAAGGCCATCATCCAGAAGATACAGGTGTTTATTAACAGTTGTCTACGCAAAATACTTTGGATCCGTTGGTCAAACACTTTCAGCAACAACTTCATATGGAAGAGAACAAACTAGATCTCAGCGGAGGAAGAAATTAGGAAGAGGCGCTGGAAGTGGATAGGACACACATTGAGGAAAGCACCCAACTGCGTCACAAGACAAACCCTCACATGGAATCTTCAAGGTCAAAGGAAAGGAGGAAGACCAAAGTACACACTACGTCGGGAAATGGAGATGGACATGAGAAGAATGAACAAGAATTGGATGGAATTAGAAAAGAAGGCCCAGGACAGAGTGGATTTAGAATGCTGATCGGCGGCCTATGCTCCATTGGGAGTAACAGGCGAAAGTAAGTAAGTTAGTAAGCCAAAAGACATATGCTACTGACCAATAGTAGCACGCTACGTTGACATCCTAGAAAGCTCCATCATGTTCTGATTGGCTAGGACTCTTCGGCTCATTTTGGGCCTCTGGAGGCTCCGTTGAAGTTCTCTGAAAGCCGACTCAACAATAACTATTTGACTTTTTATAGTACTCTTCTTCTTTACGGATTGGTTGACCCGGTCAAATTCGGAAACTGTAATTATACTAAATCAGCGATAATACAGTTTTCACAAAGCCGTTAAATAGCATTTTCGATTTTGACAACTATAATCAGTGGCTACTTTGAGTAACTGAAAACGTCGGATAAATAGAAATATCTCTTCATCAAAAAGATAGTTGAAGTGAGATTTATTTGGATTTCAATCGTTTCTATTCGATAGGTTGAAACAACGTCTTGTTGAACACCATTCAGTGATGTACTGAAACTAAGTTCACATTAGAAAACAGAAGAATAGTTACCTACAGTTGAAATATGTCTACTATATATTGGTTGCTCATAAAGTATGAGGATACAATAACGAGGGGAATGAATTATACTACGATCATGAATCCAATCTTGATTAATTTTAGACTGTGTTACTATGTAGAGGACGTATCCAGTCACTGAACTAGTTTTGTTGTATCAAATAAATTATCCATTGAGACAAGTAGAATTGGACCAACTCCCATCTCATGTTACATCCAGTTAGTATTTACGTGTCAAAGTACTTATGTCATAAAAAGAGGAATGAAGAATTTTCTGAGCACATTTCACAACAATTGAAGTTAATTCATAAAAGCCTATTGAGACGTTAATAATGAAAGTTGAGCAAAGATGTATTTCTTCTCAATTAGCGCTTCGTCATGGCTTTGCACTAATATATAAATTTAAAAGCCGAATTTGAATTGTCATGGTAACCACTAGTGACTGACTGACAGGTCTCTTTTTGTCCTTTAGTCGACAGTAAAAGGTGTAGTACAGAAATGTAATCGTGTGGTTGTAAGTCCAATAAAACCGAGTCCGCTAGAGCAATTAAAATGGTAAAGGACGAACTGGGTAATCGTTCAGTGAATATACGTTTGATGGCTTTTTGTGCTTGTTGAATTGATGTTTCGCTAGTTATATCATCTTTGAATTGCACTCCAAGAATAAAGGTTTTTTGGTACCAGTAGTGATTAAACTTCAGGTTTAGTCCTAGATATATGTTTTATTAAGGACTTTGATGAGTATACGT